GGGTGCGAAGCACGCACAGCTTAGTTAAGGGGTGTTGCGCTCCCTGTCCCATCCAACCCTCCTCCCCCCTCTTAGTCATCAAGGCCTCTGCACTGGAAACATACCCGGTCGCCGTGAAAAAAAGGGCCCCATGGGACATGATAGTAGTGGCTGCAAGCTCGACGGAGAGTGATTTCGAGAGAAACTTACTCGGGCCCTGGCAGGACACATTGCGGCTTCCTGTGCTCTACCTCAGCATGCATGATGTGCGGCGCGTGGCGTGTGTACAAATTCAGGTGTGCAAAACCAGGAGTCCAGAAAACCTTTTGGATCCTACTGAGGAAAGCCTGTATGCGGGCGCTCTGGAAGCAACATGCTAAGGACGGTTCAGCTCTCAAGGTCGTGGAGGTTGGGATCCCAGTAGTTTGGGGCGTACCTGCCCTGAATCAAATATACTGAAACAGGTACTCTTGAACAACGTCTGGATGCCCTGGGCCCATGGCTTCAACATCGACGCGGCGTGCGGCCTTGCTAGTGCATTGAGCTGTGGCTTGGGGCGTGTGCGCATCTGAATGTTATCATCCCAACGACCCCGTGCCAGGCTTCCGCCCTCAGAGCCTTCAGACCTCGTGAACCGCCGAGGTCTCCCCTGAGCGAGCCTCCTTACGCGGCGGGTTGCGCTTGTGTCCCAGGGGATCGGCGCTGGCGCAGGCGGCGGGCTCTCTGCCGCAGGCGCCTGGTAGCAGGCCGCCTCGATCTGCTGGACGAGGTTCTGCACCTGGGAGGTGGAGAGCGGGCTCTGGGAGCTGATGATGACTGGCTTGTTGGCGGGAGGTTCTGTCACGCCGTAGCCTGGCGCAATCATGTAGGGGTCCTCCTGGGCGTCGCTGTGCAGTTTCCTAGGTCGGTGCCAGAAGTTTTCGCGGTATGCATTCCAGGGGCTGGTTCTTCTCCTGTTGTTCAAGCTCCTCTTGGACCTGATCCCATCCGTCCTCTTTGATGGGCGATCTGTGTCAGTGCCACTGGTGTAGGTGTGCACCACTGGTGTTGATGTCGTCCTCTGCGCTGGCGGTATTTACGATGGCGAAGCGAACGGCGAGAATCGACATGGTGGCGTGATCGGTGCTGGGCCAGCAGCTGAGGTCGACGGTGGCGCCTCCTGCTGCTGCTGTTGCTGCTGTACATGTTACTGCCGGACTTGTTGGCCTGGTAGCTGCTGGTGCATCCGCTGTTATTGATAGAGCTGCTGCAGCTGCTCTGCAGTGAAGCTTACAGCGAAGGAGACGGACCAACAGGAGGCACTATGAGCGGCCTGCAGTTGTGGGGCCCCTGGCCCCTCTATGGTAAACCCCACAGCTGACTTTGCGACTGCCATCTGCTGCTGCTGAGTCAAGTAAGCCGCTGCGTGCTGCTGCGCTGCCATCGTCGTCATAGGGTCCTGGCCCATCTGAGGTGGCTGATACATCGTGTGACCGTTTGTGGCATTCAAGATGTCGGCTAGCGCTTTGCTAGTCTGATCTTGGCTGGTCTGCATCTTGGCGATCTCAGCCTTGATTGCCTGCACCTCTGGATCGGGCTGTGCTGGCTGTGGTGCAGTCGGAGCCGTCCTTGAGGGTGGCCTCGGAGGTGCTGAGCCAGCTGGGTGACATCTCAGTTGGCGCTGCACTGCCCCTTCCCAGGTCTCGTCCTCCATGGTAGCAGGCTGCAAGTTGTAGTACTCATGTTCCTGCTCATCTTGCTCTTCGAGATCGTCCACGCACGAGCGGATCTGTCAATCTCCTGCACGTTCTCGGACTCTTGATCCTTGAGTAGGTTGATCCTAGAAGTCGTGTTGAGGAGCTTCTCTTCTGCCTTGGAGAGCTTGCTACGCATGTCAATGACCTGTGCCAACAGGGATCCAGTCATAATTCTTGATCGTCTACTTGAGTAGTGCTGTTCCCTGTCGGTCACCTCCACATTCTTGTTGGCCTTGATCGCTGTGATGGCCAGCCTGGCCAAACCAGTCATTCTCTGCTTGACCCCTTTCTTGTAATCTTCGAGCGCCTTTGTGTCTTGCATCGGCTCACGGAATGTGTCTACAAGGGCGAGTGCGTCTGAACTCGGCGTTGGGACCATCTTTGCGATCAGGCATTGGGCCTCGCGAGCGAGCAACTCATCCTCCTTCGCCTTGCTGTTGGGGCTCGGCTGCTCCTGACGCTGAGGTGGTCCGCGTTGGCGACTTGGGCCCCTATCCCTCCTCGGGGTCCTGGACATTGGGTTGGGTCGATGATCGAAATCACATCTACAATGACAGACCCACGCTTTCCTCGGCACGTGCTTCCCGCATGCGCAAGTCCAGCTGTGAGGCCACATGTCTGACGAACGATTGTGATGCTCACGCAATAGTTGTGCACTGAAAGACTTCCTTCTGTTCCCTGGTCATGATGAATCTGTGTGTTGTAATTCCTGTCGGCTCAGGGGTTGTGCACTTGTCTCGAGGTATAGATTTCGAGGTTGTGCACTTGTCTCGGCCACCTGAGAAAAATGTTGGCTACTGTAGTGCCGCTGTCTGAGATCTGCGTTTGGGTATCAAAATCTATGGTGCTGACATTGTTGGGTATCAAATTCCACACTGCGTGACGTGTTCATCGTTCGGATACGTGTGTTGTGTGGCAGTGCAAATGCGTTAATGGAGCTGCTGGGGCCTGGTACAATGACGGCTCAAATTACGACGGCAACGGCTCCCTCTCGACACTCCCTCATAATGTATCGTGGATTACGGGGTAAATAGAATGGACATGGCAGGGCCGAGCAGGAGCGAGGAGAGGGGGCAGGACGACGGGATCTGCAATATGCCAGGCCGGGGGGAAGGAGGAGGCAAAAAAGGAAAACATTGAGGACGCTATCTTGCAGACGCCTGGACTTCAGTAAGCTGAGCACCTGAAGAGGATGGCGAAGAGATGGTGGCGACCAAGCCTGCTAGGAACGGGCAAACACGGCGGATGTGGATCAAGAATGGGTAGGCGGGTCGGCCCCTCATCCTCCTCACTCCTTACTTCCTCTCCTCCCTCCTCCCCGAGGCCCTCCTCCATCCTCACTCCGCTATTATGGATGGGGGTTGGGTGGGCCAGCGGGACCGGTGATCTTCTTGAGTACATCCAGATATGCAAGGGAGGAAGGGCCGGGAACGGCGGACTCTGCGAAAATCCCAAAAGGGGGTTGCTGGGGGAGGGGACTTTGCAAACATCCCGATGTGGAGGGCGTGGTAGTTTGCACAATCCTGACCTGGATGGGGGGTCGAGGGAGACTTCTGCAAAAATCCCAAGGGCGGGGGGGGGATTTTGCACTAATTCCGACGTGGAGGGCGCGGGCACCGGGGGGATTTTGCAAAAATCCCGACGCGGAGCGCGCTGCAATTCGCGCAATCCCGACGCGGAAAGGGGGGCGGTGGGGGACTTTGCAAAACTCCCGAGGGAGGCGGGGGGATTTTGCAAAAATCCCGGCGCGGAGGGGGGGAGGGGGGGGGGATTTTGCGAAGTCCCGCCGCCAGGGCGGGGGGCTTCCAGAACATCAGAGATTTTGTGGCGCCGGGGTTGGGAAACGTATCTGTATTGTCGCCTGGTATCAATTATGAGGTTGGGAAACGTATCAATATTTCCGCCGGGTATCAATTTTGGGGTTGGGAAGCGTATCAATATTTTCGCCGGGTATCAATTTTGGGGTTGGGAAAGGTATCGGTGTTGTCGCGGGGTATCAATGTTGGGATTGGCGATCGTATCGATTTCGACGTTGGTGGTTGGCGATCGCATCAATTTCGAGGTTGTCGAGTTGCGGGTCGTATCAATTTCGATGTTGTGGTCTCAATTACTAGGTTGGGAAACGTATCGATATTTCTGCCGGGTATCTGGTCTGTCGCTGGCAAGCGCATGAGCATTTCTGCGGTCTATCAATGTAAGCGGGAAGCGCGTCAACACATCCTCCGGGCAGGGCGCGCTTCCACGGGTCCATGGGCGCGTGCGCGCGCGCGCGCCCTGACATCCTTTTGCGCGGGCTAGACCCTAGACCCTACTCAGCGCCGAGCGGTCGGGAACTGCCCAGCATCGAAGGGCTCGTCGGCGCTGGCCGCAGGCCGCGCGCTGGCCCTGGCGCGGGCGCCACCACCCCGACGCGCACCGCCCCAGGGGCGGGTCCGCCCCAAGCCGCTTCGGATTCACATGCGCCTTCGCGAATCGCCGCAGCAGTTCCAATGTCGGCGCTACCAGGCCATGACACGATTCATGAGGCGCCGCGAAGGCGATCGGGCCGCAGCGGCAGATTTGCCAGACCCGCAGGTCATTGCGACGAGGTCGCCCTCTTCGTCGCGACTTTTCTCGGCGCAGCGCAACCAGTCTAACTCGCGGGCGCGACCGCGGCACTCGGGCGACGGCCGCGAGGGCGGCGCCCTCCGACGCCAGGCGCGAGCCCCACAAGGGACAAGGGTGATCCTCGCCGGGGCATGGGCGACTCCGAATCCGTGGGCGACGGGGCCGGCCTTTGGCGCAGGGGTGTCCGCATCCCGCTCGGGTTCGCGCTTGTCCCGCGAATCCAACTCATGGCCTTCGTTGGGCGTCCCAGAGCAGTGGTAGTCGCTCGCTGTCAGAGATTCAGGCATTTAGCAGGCGTGCGTGTGTAGTATCTGTGCTTATCTTGATTGTTACAGCAGCGCACGCGTACACAGGGCGCCTTTTTAGGATCAAGGGTATTGAAGCATCCTTATCATCGATCCCCGCCCGCCTGGGCGGACTCTCATGGTAAGCGGAGCCTGATCGCTCCGGGACCTGCGCATCATAGGCCGCTGGGCTGGGCCGCCGCGCCCAGGCGCCCCGCGGCAGGCGACGGCCGCAGCCGCCGCCAGAGGTCGCCGAACCTCTTCTCCGCCGCCGCGGTCACCACCGCGGCAGTCGTGTCAGCCCACGACGACGAGCCCTCCGCCGAGCCGGCCGAGGGCACCATCCTTTGCAACAACGCTGCTGCTGCTGATCATTCCCATCCTCACGAAGAAGATGTCCATCGAGCTGGACAGGAATGGAGTCCCTCAGTATGCAGGCCAGCCAGAGTATTTCAATGAATACGAAGAGCGAGCTTGGGATCTCTATCGTGGCAGGACTGGCGAGAAGTCTAAGCAGGCCGCGACAGCGCTGCATCTACGATCAGGCCTTTCTGGTCCAGCCTACGAAGCAGTGCGCAAGCTCAAACATGAAGAGCTGATAGCTACTGATGAGTCTGGAGAATCAAGGCAGGACGGGCTCGCTCTTTTCCTCACGACGTTGAAGAAAGAAGTTCAAGATATAGCACCCGTCCGAAGCACCGAGATTATCGACAAGGCTTTGTACGGATCATCGGTCTGGCGCGACCGCAACGAGTCCATGGCCATTTACGTGACAAGGAGGCGAAAGGAGTTCGCAGAGTTGCAGGAGGTCAGCGCCACGACTACGATCTCAGAGGTAATCCAGCCGCACTGATCCTCAGATTCTGCGGCATCAGCATGAAGGAGCAAGCCGCAGTCCTCGCCTCCAACAAGAATGAGTACAAGCTAGCCGGCATCGAGTATGCACTGCGGGCTCAGTACCCAGCGGTACATCGACAGCAGGACCGACGCGCTGATCGCCGAGAGCGATCCGCCTACTCTTACGCCGCGTCGGAGCAGGACGAGAACCAGTCAGAGCTCGATCACATCTATTACGAGGACGAGGACGAGGACGGCTACTACCAGGGCGAGGAGGGCGACTACGAGCACGACGAGGACGACGAGTTCGACATCGAGAACTACGTCGCGGAGAACCTCGACGAGCTTGGCACCGAGGAGGCAGAGGCCCTCGCCCTCGTTCTGCAGAGCCGCAGCAATATCTTCAACAAGAAGAAGCCGCCTAGGCGAGTGACTTCGAGCTTCCACGGTCGCGGCAAGGCCGGTGGAAGGGGGGGCCGTCGGGGAGGCGGCAAGGGTTTGACAACCAGGTCGCCCGCAGGGCGAGGAGGCAGCAGCAGTTCGAGTAGTGCTGTCCCTGGCTACGACGACCGACAGCGAGATGCTCGCCGACAGCACGTCGCCAACCTGAAGAAGCGGGCCCAGTGCTCCGACTGTCACCAGTTCGGGCACTGGCAGGGCGATGATGGTTGCCCTCGTCGGTCGAGCCGGAAGCCTACATCAGTGTCTCCAGCGAAGAAGCCCGCTCAGAACTACTTCGCGCTCGAGGGGCACGGGGGCAACGACGACGACAGCGAGCCGTCCGAGGTCTTCATGGTTCTAAAGGGCGAGATGGAGCACGTCTGCGAGCACGCGGCCGACGACGCTTGCGAGAAGGTCGTCCGCGGCGCCAGCAAGACCACCAGGTACATCACATGCAGGGAGTGCGACCGACACTTCACGCTCGCCCACCGCAACAAAGGGTTCGAGCTGTGGAGCTACTTCATGAAGGCCCTGATGGGCACGAAGTGGGGCCGCTTCCTGTCCCGCAAGGAGTTCGCGAGGCGGATTGCCCTGGTGGCCGACGCCCTGATGATCCAGGGTCGCCTCCCATCTACGCATCGGAGGCGGACGGGGGCGCCCGCGGCGCGACGCCTTTCCGGCAAGCAGCGGCTATTCGGCCGGCTGCCTGCAAGAGGCGACGGACCACGTGCACCTACACCGGCGGCCGCATCTGCGGCCAGTTCTGCGAGGCCGAGTGCTACTGGATCAGCACCGGCCGCACCACCTACACCCGAGAAGCGCATCATCAAGGTCGACTTGACCCAAGGCGACCCCGAGCCGAAGCCGGGGCCGGAGCTGGCCTTCCTGCACGGCATCCCGCTCCACCAGAGCATCGAGCTGGTGGAGTTCCCGGATCTCGACGGCGTCGACCAGCTCAACCCGGCCCCGTACCCAGCGGAGGTCATCATTTTCGGCGCGCACAAGGGGCGAACCTTCCAGGATGCGGCGTCCGACCCGGCACTCATCTGGTACAACAAGTGGGCTCTGGACCAGGTCTTGGGCCCCGAGGCGGAGGAGATCAACCTCCACTTGTACCGCTACGCGTATTTCCTCTACGCCATTATGAAGATCGCGCGTGGCAAGTTCAACGTTGCCCCGCTGCAGATGATCGACGGTGACAAGAGGAGGCTCCCCGCCGACAACGATTGGATGGAGGCCAACGCCGGCGGCTTCACCATCCCGATTCAGCACAACATCCATCAGCCGGACGTCATCTCTACCTACGAGTGCTCGGTCATGGCCGCCACTACCGGCAACGCCTTCTCGGCACACGACAACGACGCCGACGCCATGCTCGCCATCATCGGCACTGGGTGCACGCGCGCCATGCACGGTGAGTCATGGCGGGCAGCCTTCGAGCGTGAGCTCGCGAGGCGCGGTCTACAGGTAGTGAAGACCCCGACCTCTCGTACATTCAGAGGGATCGGTGGCCGCACGAGGAGCACCACGGCGGTCCGTTTTCCCGTGGGCATTGGAGGAAAGTGTGGCGAGATTCTGTCGTGTGAGGTGCCGGGCGACTGCCCGATGCTGCTCAGCAGGGACATGCTCACCAAGCTTGGGCTGAGCATGCGGCTTTCCACGGAGGGCGATGTCGCCGACTTTGTCAACATTGGCGTCTACAACCTGAAGCTCCACCACACTAAGGTGGGCCACCCGGCGGTCAACCTCCTTGACCTGCCGAACGAGAGCTACGAGACGGCCGAGTGGGCGGCGCTGACGACGCCCGAGGATCACCACCTCGAGTACTACCCCGAGAAGTTCCACGTCGGCATCACTTACGTCGAGGAGAGCTCAGTTGAGCCTCTCCCCAGCTTCCTGGACATCGAGATCGGCGAGACTACGGACGACGAGTGCCTCCAGACGGTCGTCGACCACGACTACAGACCGGACGTCTTCGCCGCCGAGGCGATCGAGTGGGGCGGCAAGCGCAACCTCACCAACAAGTAGTCCAAGAAGCTCGAGCATTCCCTGCAGGCCATTGCCGTGCAGGATGAGGTGGTGCAGGCCGTCGTGGAGAAGCATCCGCCCAGGGCCCGGCTGCCCGCAGGTGCCAGGACATGGGTCAAGCAGACCTACGCTGGCCAGATGGGTTTGACAGTGCTCATGGCCACGATGGGCCTCTCGGTCGGCGTCCCACTGGACAAGCACACGGGCTGGGGCGCTACCACCAGGCTGGGCAGGCAGAGGTACGACGCGGAGATCACCAACTAGGAGCCGCACTGCCTCGTGGTCTCGCACCCCTGCTCGCCGTGGGGCAACTGGAGCAGATTCAACATGGCCCGTTGCCCAGAGACCGAGAGGAAGATCTTGGCCAAGCGTGAGGCGAACCGCCCCATTCTCAGGCAGGTGGACTCCTCAGTGGACAGCCGAGTGCGGAGGGGCTTCCACGTGGCGTTGGAGCACCCCCAGGGCTCCGAGGCCTTCGACCAGCCGGAGATGTCAAGGATTCGTTCTCTCCTGGACAAGGGCATCCTGAGGAAGGTTACCTTCGACGGCTGCCAGGTTGGGCACCACGATGCTGAGTCAGGCTTGGCTCACCGCAAGCCCATGATGATCATTACCACTATGGACACGCTGGTCGAGGCCCTTTCCGACAAGAAGTGTAGCTGCACCCAGCACGAGCAGCTAAAGGGCCGCAACAAGTTCGGGCCGCGCACCCTGCAAGCGGCCGAGTGGCCGGAGGAGCTCAACCACATCGTCGCCCGCAGCATCGTACAGCAGGCCATCGTCGACAACGCCACGGACACCGACTGGCAGTTCCCTGCAGAGGATGATCCAGACCTTCGTGGGCCAGTTCGGCTACGACGACGGACCAGACTGCGGGGGCACCCGTACCGGGCAGCCATGGCGCAGCCAGCGCCACTGCCTGACCCGAACGTGCCTGAGCCTGCTCCTCCTCCAGCTGATCAAGAAGCTGCGGGGGAGCCACCACCTCCGCCAGCCGTCGATCCGGACGGCGAGCGAGCCCGAGAGGCCGCTCAGCTCGGCCCTATCACCAACACCAAGGAGGCCGAGCGGCGCAGGCGATGGCTGGAGGCCCCGCCAGAGGTCAGGAAGGCCATCCGCCAGCTCCACGTTAACTTCCACCACTGTTCGAACGTGACGCTGACCAGGCTGCTAAGGCGCCGAGGAGTCAAGCCGGAGGTGCTGAAATACGTGGAGTTCTTTTCCTGCGACGCCTGTGGCGATGCCGTCCGTCGGCGCGCCCCGCGACCTTCGCGGTTGCCAGGTCAGTGCGTGTTCAACTACGCCATCCAGCTGGACACCTTCCACGCCTACGACGCCGCCGGGACCCCCTACTTCTTTATGAACTGCATCTGCGAGGGGGCGAACTTTCAAGTCGTGTACTGCATGGGCCCGGCTCGTGGATCACCGACAGCACGTGCCACTACTAAGGCGTTCACTACCAGCTGGACCCCGTGGGCTGGCTTCCCAGAGAAGCTCACGGTGGACCTGGGCAAGGAGTGGATGAAGGATTTCGCCTCCAACGCGAAGGCGCATGGCGCGCAGGTCGACCTGGCCCCGTTGGAGACGCCGCACCTCATCGGCAAGTGCGAGCGCCACGGGGGCATTTGGAAGGAGATCTGGCGACGCACTGTCGCCGACTCGCAGGTTACAGGACTGGACGACGTCGAGGAGACTGCCTCCATCGTGACCCAGGTCAAGAACGAGCTGGGCCGACGCGGGGGGTTCTCCCCTTCGCAGTGGGTCTTGGGGTCTCATGGGCCCCGTGTCCCAGGAAGTCTCCTACAAGACGACGAGGCGCAGCGGCTGGAGGTCATCGAGGCGTCGCTCGACCCCCAGTCTGCCATGGCCCGCGCCATGGCCCTGCGCGAGGCGGCCCGCATCGCACGCGTCCGCCTCGACTCCGACGACCGCGTCAAGCGCGCCATCCTGCGCAAGGCGCGGCCTAGCCGAGGCCCTTTCAACATTGGGGCCATCGTGTGCTTCCGCCGGTCGCAGACCCGAGTCGGCGAGAGCCCCGAGGTCACGCGCCGCTGGTTTGGGCCAGCCCGAGTTATCGGGCACGAGGTGCGTGACCCACGTCACCTCTCTCGCGACACGGACGAGCCCGTCGGCACACTGGCCCATGCAGTGTGGCTGCGCTACGGACACACTACCGTGCTCGCAGCTCCTGAGTCGCTCAGGTTCGCCTCCGAGGACGAGCTGCTCGCCATGCACACCTACGTGAACCCAGACCTGTTGTCCCTTCGGTCGCTGAAGGGGGCCAGGCACTACATCGACATCCGGGCCGATGCACCAGCAGCCTCGCCCGCCCCGATGCCCAGGCCGCAACAGCACGCGGCTGGTCACGGAGGGGTGGTTGGGGGCGCGCTCGGATCTGCCGGACCAGGACCTGACGTAAATTTCGACTTCGACGAGTTCAACACCGAGGACCATCTACCACAGCAGCGGGTCGATCCTCCACCGCCGGCACACGAAGTACCACAACAAGCATCTCCAATCATTCAGGAGACCGACGACGCACTACTACCACCGCCAGCTCAGCATCAGCCACCTCCTGTGGTCCCTGAGCCACCACGCCCGGGGCTACCAGAGGCAGAGGGGCCGCCACGCTCGTACGGCCCAGGCGAGCCCAGCATTCATTCCGAAGTTCAGGGTCATCGGATCGATCCTCGAGTATTTCAGGAGGCTATCGACAAGCCGGTGCCCCCGGATGACGAGGCTGTCGACAAGCCGGTGCCGGACGACGAGATGGGCGTGGGCCTGGAGCGCGGGGAGAAGCGCGGAGGCCTGTCACTTACCCAGCTGGACAGAACCATGCGCGATCCGGAGCGTCTGGATCGGGGTTCCATCAAGAAGCCTCGTACCTTCCAGGGCTACGTGGAGGAGGAGTTCAGCGTCATGGAGGATGCCCTCCACGAAGTGTTCCTCAGCAGCGACTACAAGCCGGACCTGGCTGTCGCCTACGAGTGGCGTCGCACCGACTACGGCATCAAGAAGTTCATCACTACGGACAAGCGTGGCCCTCGCAGGTCCAAGGTGCTTCGCCGCATCACCAGGGACATCAAGACAGGCATCGTGATCGATGACATCGACGTCAGAGGTCTTGCTCTTCGCGATGCTCGCCTTCGTCGGCCTCTGCCTGGTGGCACCACCGCGGTCGAGACCATATTCGTTCACACCGACGAGGACGTGGGCACGAACGACACAGTCGAGTTCGCCTATCTCACCAAGGGCGCGGTCCGCTCCGAGATCAGACTTCAAGACCTCGCCCCAGAGCAGAGGAAGGAGTTCGATCAGGCTATGGCCAAGGAGTGGCGCAGCTGGACTGAGTTCCAGGCCGTCGAGGTGCTGAGCTGTAGCCAGGCCAAGGAGCTCCTCGACAGGGGCGCCTCCCCAGTTGGGACGCGCTGGGCCCACACGGACAAGAACGCTAAGAAGCGCAACCTCAAGCAGACCTACGACGACATCCCGCTCGCAGCCAAGAGTCGGCTCGTCGTGCAGGGCTGCCAGGAACGAGGAGATGATATCCGAGGCGACGCTCCTACTGCTAGCCTTTTGGCTTTCCACCTGGTCGCCAGCTACGCTGCCTCCCACCGGTGGCAGATAAGGGCAGCTGATGCTGCGACGGCCTACCTGCAGTCCAAGGGCATTGAGCGCATCCTGCTTCTTCGAGCCCCTCGTCCTCCACCACCTCGAGTTCCGGAGGGGTCCTACATGCGCGCCCGCGGCGCAATCTACGGCACCAAGGACGCGGGCAGGCAGTGGTGGCTGCCTCTGCGCGCCATCCTCGTGGAGCAGGGTTGGCGCGAGTCCATCTACGAGCCCTGTCTGTTCATGCTCAGGGACAGGGCCAGCTCAACGGCTTGCTGTGCACGCACGTCGACGACCTCTTCGTCACGGGCGCGGGCGAGCAGTTCGAGCGCGTGATGGAGATCATCAAGGACAAGATTCGCCTTTCCTTCCAGTCCGACACGTTCAGGTACTGCGGCAAAGTCGTGGAGCAGGACAACCAGACTTTCGACATCAAGATCGGACAGGCCGCCACGGTCGAGGCGCTGGAGTACATCACCCTCGAGCCGCACCGCCGGCGCAAGCCCAATGCGCCACTCACCCCGGAGGAGATCTCTGCCCTCCGTAGCGGTGTTGGATCGCTTGGCTGGGTAGCACGGCAGACGCGCCCCGACCTGGCCGTCCACGCTTCACTTGGGGCTCAGGCCATGAGTGGCCCCAAGATTCGTGACATTGTTGCAGTGAATCGTGCCATCAAGATGGCTAAGGACGACGTTGATTTCAAGCTGATGTTTTCATCCCGCCTGGACTGGGACAGCGCCATTGCGTTGGGCTGCGGGGACAGCAGCCGCGGCAACATTGACGACCTTACGCTAGGGGAGAAGGTCAAATCCCAGTGCGGCTATATCATCGGCACGGCGTCGCCCGACCTCGAGACGGACGCCACCGCGATCATACATCCACTGGAATGGGCTAGCGCGACGATCAAGCGAGTGGTTCGTGGATCGCTAGCAGCTGATTGCAATGGTTTCCTGACGACAGCTGAGAGTGCGGAGTTCCTCAAGCATGTGATTGCCGAGATCTCCGACCCCGGCTACTCATCCTACCAGTTCGACCCGTTTTTCGATGGCAAGCATCTGCTACTGCTGACGGACGCGAATGGCCTTGTCACCTCCCTGGAGAAGGATGGTGGTCAGCCCACTGACAAGCGAGTACGGATCCTGATGGCCCAGATCCGACAGCTACTCGGCCATGACATGCTGAAGCAGGAGCGAGAGGGAGATGACTGGAGGATACGTGTCAGGTGGATCGACGCGAAGCTGATGATCGCGGACTCTTTGACAAAGTCCGAGGCTGAGAGGAGTTTCTTGCTAGAGCGGCTGTCTGAGGGCCGCTGGTGTTTAGCGCAGACGAAGGAGATGCTCGCTGCTAAGGCAGCGGCAGGCGAGGCGCGCCGAGCCCGCAAGGCCCGGCCTGGCAATGCGGAGGGGTAGTCCTCCGGTTTTCGTTTCCCCCCTTCTCCTCCTCCGCCTCCTCTCCCTCGTACCGTTTGGTTTGCATCCATATTGTTTATGCCCTGTGGTTTTATAGTTCCATATTTGCACGCCTGTTTAGGCACCGCTCTGCCGATTTTTGGAGATTTTTCCTTCTGAAGGCAGTGGATTTCATTATATCATTTGTTTTCTCATCTGTCTAATGAAGCTTAGCCCCCGCACTGTTTTTTGGGTCCGGAC